GGGCTGCCATATCTCGGGTGGTCATCACAAACTGTTTGTTTTTCGCTTTAAAACTTTTTATAAATCTTCCAAATGTCCGATATTTATTTGGACATGTCTGTCGAGTGGGTGGGCTTCACACACACACACACACACACACACACACACACACACACACACACACACACACACACACACACACACACACACACACACACACACATTTGCATTCATTCACCATATTCAACAATTACAACTTTTTTTTTTTTTTATTATTCTTTAAAAATCAGGATCTGACAGACGCAGAAACTGTAACAACAATGCAAGGCAGTGAAACAAAATTATACATTATACAAATAAGTGAGAAAATAAATACAAAAAGTGAGGAAGAGAAATGATAAAACATGAAAAATAAAATATGCTAGAATAAAATAAATAATAATAAGACAAATAAAAGAAAAGTAATTGACAATGGAATATAAAATTTTAAGTGGTGCTTGGTAATTTAGAGAAGCAAATATTTTGCTTAAAACTTCATTGAAACAACCCCATCTTATAATAATCATCTGAAGACGATTCAAAAAACTTTGAGGTTTCACTACAATACATCAATACTTAAAGCAAGAAATATGAAGCCACAAATACGGAGTCATGTACAGCGTCCATCGCTGCGCCCACACACGGCGTGCATACATCCAACATGCAACTTCTCAGAAATGTAGTTGATCAGTTTGTGATGAGGATGGTGAGGATGATGAGGATAATGATGATGATGGAAACTTCGAAACTTGATATTTGCATCAAAGATGGAAAGATTAACGATGAAGATGATGATGACGACAATGAAGATGATGATGATGGCGATGTTGATGGTGATAGTGAAAATAAAAAAGATGATGATGATGATGAGCAGCCTAACATTTATGATTATAGTGAGTTGCAGAGTTGCAGAAATTTTGATGGAAATAATCATATTAATGATGATGATGATGATGATGGTGAAGATGGTGATGATGATTACTGATGATGATGATGCCAGTGATGAGGCGATAATGATTGATGATATTGATGAATATTAAAAAATGCTAGTCATGAGTGATTGATCGGCGGATAAAATCATGAATGAATGAATTCATGCGTATTAAAAACAAATAAATAAATGAACTAACGAATGAACGAACGAACGAACAAACTAACGAATAAATGAATTAATAAATGAACGAACGAACTAAATGAATGAATGAATGAATGAATGAATAAATGAATGAATGAATGAGTGAATGAATGAATGAATGAATGAATGAATGAATGAATGAATGAATGAATGAATGAATGAATGAATGAATGAATGAATGAATGAATGAATGAATGAATGAATGAATGAATGAATGAATGAATGAATGAATGAATGAATGAATGAATGAAGGAACGAACGAACTAACGAACGAACGAACGAACGAACGAACGAACGAATGAACGTACGAATGAATAGATGAACAAAAGTTTGTTTAATAAATAAGGAAGTTTTTTATTCTTTGAGAATAAGACGTTGGTGAATAATTGATTGGGATATGTTTTTATCAAGTTGATTAAATGGAATTTTTAGATGAAAATAATGATGTTGAAACATTAGAAATAAAAATAAAACTCATTGACGATGTTAAAGATGATGTTGTTGAAAATGTTAATGACGTTGCTGATGTTGCTGAAGATGTTGTTGAAGATGTTAAGGATGATGTAGCTGAAGATGTTGATAATGTTGAGAATGATGTTGAAGATGTTGTTGAAGATTTTGATGATGTTGGTGATGTTGTTGATGTTGATGATGTTGTTGAAGATGTTGTTGAAGATGTTGATAATGTTGAGGATGGTGTTGAGGATGTTGTTAAAAATGTTGTTGATGATGTTGGTGATATTGAATCGACAATATTTAAAATTATGATAAAAATAATGACCAATATAAGAATCTTGATGGAGTTTAGTGATGAAAGACTACAAAAAATATGAATACTGATGTATATATATATGATAAACAATGATAATGTTAGACAAAATATTGAGAAAAACGAGCGAATGATAATTATATGGAAAATAATTATTGTGTTTAAGAAGATTGCAGCACCACAAAATTTTTTTTTCCGAAACAAAATTGAACACTTCAACACGCGCTTATTCAAACCAAAAATTTCCAAATACCTTCTTTAAAACTTCGTATATAATCACAAACATATAAAAAGTACCCTAACTAGAATTTGAAAATTTTTTTGCGGTGAGTTTTTCAAAATTATTGGTGCGTGAAAATTGTCTGAAATGTTTTTTCTGGACCTCTTAACTCTAACATCTAAGCATCATTAAAAGTTAAAATTCTACCTAATTTTGCAGTATTTTGGTTTTTTCAGTCTTGCTTTTTCATTCATTTTTGTTATCTTATTCTTCCTTTCTTCTCATTCTTTTCATTTTTTTCACTTTCACTTTCTGTTTCTTTATTTCTTTTTTTCTCTCTCCTTCTCTCTCTCTTCCTCCTTCCCTTTTTCTCTTTCTCTTTCTCTCTCTCTTTCTCTTTCTCTTTCTCTCTCCCTCTCTCTCTCTCTCCTAAATAGCTAAGAAGCTTGGAACCATATTAATGAGTATTTATTAGATTTTTGAATAATAAATTATTTTAAAGATTACTTAAGCTTATATTAATTTGCTTCATCTTCTTTTCTAAAAATTTTTTCATAAATTGCAATTTTCTAATTTACTTTTATTTCGTCTATGTAATAATATTCAATAATATTCAATAATCTGAGTTCTGAAGAAATGGAGAAATGCGCTAATGACAATTTTAAAAATATTAAAAATATGAAATATATATATATATATATATATATATATATATATATATATATATATGTGTGTGTGTGTGTGTGAGTGTGTGTGTGTGTGTGTGTGGGGTGGGTGTAGTGTGTGTGTAGAGTGTGTGTGTGTGTGTATAAGCGTTCGTTTGCTTTGTATGTACGTACAATTTGTGTTTACTTTTTACAATTGGAAAACTCCTGTATCCTATGATGCAGTCTCCGCGCATATTGTACACTGTATGGAATTGTTCAACCAGTTTTTAACCATTTAATTTTCTTTTCCTTTATTATTATGGCTCCATTTTTTAACCATTAAAATGTGAAATTGTCAAAAAAATGGCCAATGTTGACGTGCGAAGACAATCGCAGCGGAACGATTGTCGACCAGCTGACAAACTGACTGGCCGTGGTCGATAATAAGAAGGGGATTAAAAATGGATGAGATCTTAAAATGAGTGTTTGCCTTGTGTTGGAGTGTTGTTTGGGCTGTTGTTGTTATTGTTGTTGTTGCTGTTGATGTTGCTATTGCGGTGTGGTGGGCTGTGTTGGTAACGTGAAATTGACGTTCTAATGTTGCAGTTGTTATTGTTATAATAGTTGTTGTTGTGTTTTATTGTTGTTACATTAGTTGTTGTTGGTGAGTTTGAGTAGCTGGGTGTTCTTTGATATTTTTTGATCTAGTCTCGTTAATTAATGTGCGAGCGTGGTTTTTGTTTCGGTATGTTGTTGGTGTTTACGTGTTGCTTGTTGAGTATACAACTCTAAATTTACTAAATATTTTTAATTATGTTTTCAGTTCATACATTTTAAGAATTGAAATTTTATCACTTGAAACTAAAAAATCAACTTGGTGATCTCAGGCATGCAACATGAATTGGTTTCAGATAGTCTATTGACGATATTTGTGGTGGTTGCGGTTGCCTCATAGACAAGAGTTTATTCCACTAATAAAATGAGATAAAATATTAGAGATAACATATTTTAACGATTCCTTTGCAACACAGATCTCAACCATGTTATTCTTTATTTGATTAAACTGTTGTTTCATAAAAAAAAACTTGAACTTTTCTGGAGTTAAATCTCATACAAACTTAAACTAAAAATAATTTATAAAAGTAAAATATTAGTAGGCATTTTTTTCGTAGATGCATATAATCTTTTTGGCAGTATATACACTGATTAAGAATAACAATAGGTCATATTGATGTACCCCAGAATACAGATTGCATAGGCATCGTTATGCGAGTTCATGATAATTTTAATAAGGTAAATTTATTTGGTAGACATTTTAGTAGTGCTTTTAAGTCCCTTCGAATAACAATGGTAATTCTTCCGGTATTCAACTTTTTTTGGATGGTGTATATATTTCTGTTGGTGAAGTCCTAATTAATTTGAAATGTTTGAATAAATATAAATCTGCGGGTCCGGATAATTTGCTTACCAGGGTGTTGATTGCACAATATTTATGTAAGTTATTTAATATGCCATTAGAGTTGCATTTTACTCCAAATGACTGGAAGCATATTGTGATTGTGCCCGTGTTTAAGATGGGTGATGTCACTAACGCAACTAACTACAGACCTGCATCACTATGTTGTGCTTGCTGTAAGGTGATTAAGTCAGTTATTCAAGATAAATTAATGGGATACTTTATTAATAATGATCTCTTTGGTAGAAGACAGTTTGGTTTTATGCCTAAAAAGTCTGCTTTAATGCAATTATTAAAAATGGTGGATGACTGGATGAAGGCTGAAAAATTGATGTGATTTAAACTGATTTTGAGAAGGCTTTTAATAAGGTCCCTCACACTGGTCTGATTGAGCAACTTTCTGATTACGCTTTGAATGGGCATTTTGTTGAATGGATCTCGGATTATCATAAGAATGTAACATCGTCATCTAATGCGAATCACAGCGACAAAAACGTTGCATGAAATCAACTTTTATGAAACGCTATCACGGATGGACTCTTTTCAAATGACCAGCCATGATCAATCAATTTATTTAATTATAAATTTAATTTAAAACATTTAACTGTGTTTATTATTTCATCTGCCCCAAATTATTTTGATTTTACTTGATTTTGGAATATGAAAAACAAAAGAATTCATATTTATTTCATATTCTTATTATTCAACTTCTTATTATGATATATTTATAAGGTCTTATATATTGCTATCAGCGAATGTTCGTTGCAAGCAATTCCAAAGCGAAGTTGTTCTCTTTGATGCCTGTCGGCCTAACAAGGTGACAAAAAGTATTCTTTCCAGTGACAGCACCTCGCGCGCGCT